GGCTCTGGGAAACATCCCTCACCCCCGGGGCCAGACGGGGCCCTGGCCCCTACGTATGAGCAGAGCACCCCCTTACCACCTGTGCTCCCTAGAATCCTAGTTGAGCAGCAGATGGAATCCAAAACAAATCATACGCAGGGGGCGAGCACAGGCTGTTTTCTGGTGGGAAGTACGTTTCAGAAAGTCCGCGTGCCAGAGGCTCCCTGACTGTGGTTGCACTTGAGCACAGTGCTGGTGAGTGCCCGACACAGCTCCCAGCACCGTGCAAACACCTTGGCCGCTTCCGAGTCCCTTTGTCTTGTGCTTTCACCCAGGCTGTGCTCCCTCCTGGCAGCCCAGAGCCCCACTGGGCCTAGTTCTTGACAACCTGCCCACGTGTCTTCCCGGGGCCTCAAGTTCTCAAGCTCCAGAGAAATCTGCCTTTTGTTCATCATACTTGATGATACCAATGGGTATGCACCATACTGAGTGCTTTCCAGACATTTCCAGGGGTGGTTCGCCCTCCCCTCTGGAGTGGATGTTATCCCACTGGTCCAGACAAGAAAGCAGATGTTGGTTTACTCACGTCCCTCGTCTAGCCAATGGTAGATCTGAGGGCAGTCTCCTTATTTGCCTGGCCCCAAAGCCTGTGTTCTCTCCAGGCCACCTCACGGTCTCTCCTCTGGCCTCTGTGGTCCATCAGCTCTGTTCCCCGATGTCTCTCCAATGCATTCCCTGCCTCACTGCACTTCCGGAGGGAGCGTGTGGTCTCCTGTCCACTCTCCAACACTGCGTGCAAAGGGGTCTTGCATATTACAGCACATCCCGATTCATCCCTTTCCAGACCTCCCACAGCTTCTGAAACAGGACCGGAGCTCCTTACCCTGGGGATGCCTGGGGCGCTGTTACGGCTCTGCCCTGGCCTGGATTCCCAGCCCCTCTCCCTGCTCCTTCTCTCCCCTGCAATGCTCCCGTGCTCAGAAGTCCTGGTGGTTCCTCCAAGGAGCCGCACACCTCTGACCTCCAGCTTCAGCACTACAATGCATCTCGCTCGACGGCCTTCCCACTGGACCCTTCACACCCTTCAGAGAAGTCTTTTCTGACTCTTCCCATCCCCGATTCTCTTCTCCTCGCCCCTGCGCTGGCGCCAGTGGCCCCAGGGCCTGAGCGAGATGTTTTCCTTTCTGGTCCTTGCTGACAGCTTTGCTCGTGCAACTTAGTAAACACGCTGCGTCTACCTTGGCATTCGACAGGGAGCTCCTGGGAGAAGGAATCTTGTCTTGCTCATCCTGATATATCTAGTGATTAAACAATGCCCAGAACACAAGAGGCCCCCAGCGCCTGAGTGAATAAAGTATGACCTAGGAGTGGAGGGAAATGTACCAAAGGAAGATGGGGGGGGAATATATATATATATTTCCCAAGGGAAATGTACCAAAGGAAGATGGCGGGGGGATATATATATATATGTTTCCCAAGGTGAAATCCCTGGACCAGCACCCCAGAATCACTTGGGAATTTAGGAGAAGTGCAAATTCTTGGGTCCCACCCCAGGCCTACTGAGTCAGAAATTCTGGCCAAGACCCAGCGACTTGCATGTTGCCAAGCCCTCCCAGGCATTCTGATACCAGCTAAAGCTGTAAAACCCGTGCAGTAGGAGAGATTGCTAGGCTGTTCTCCCAGTGCAAGCCCTAGTGACTAACATGTTTACTATTTCAGGCCCCACGAGGAATCGGTCATAATTATTATTCTTATTCTTAGATGCAGAGACAGGACTTGAAGAGCTTTGGCGGCTTGCCCAGGGTCCCATACACAGAAGAGGAGGGCCTGGGTAGGGGCCAGAAGGTGGGCTTCCCTGGGGGCAGGGCCCTCAGCGGCCTCAGGTGCAAGGGCACCTAGCAGAGCCCGGACCATAAGCAAGGCCTGGGGGCTGATTCCAGCTCTGCTTCTGCATCTGCCTGACTGGCAACCCATGTGGCCTGCAGATCTCAGTTCCTCTGAGGAAATCAGGAGACAAATTTTAGGTGAACATGAGAGCCATCGCGTGCTACAGAGGTTTCAAGAATTGCACACATATATAAGATGTCATTTGTGTATCTCCTCCCCACAGGGCAATGCACACCATGAGAAAGGCATGCAGGTAGCCCGGCTTTCCACTCCGGTCCCCAGGAACACCATCCGCATTCTTCTCACCCCCTCAAGTGGCCACGTGGAAATGTGCAGTTACTTCAGTTTTTAAAAAATGAGGAAAGGGTGCCCCCTGCTGCCCAAGATGATGAATGATCCCACTCAGCACAAGCTCCTTTAAAAGAAAAAAAAGCTGCTTGCGCGCTGGTCACGTGACAGTGGGCCAGAATCGCGCAGCTGGGACCAATCCCAGCAGAACTAAAAATAGCTGCGATACCAAGCCAGAGTGGCGTTATTCTTTTTAAGGCCAGTTGGGAGGGGGGTCCCCAACTAGATGGTCCAAAGGCAATTTACTCAGAGGGTCAACTATCGGTAGGCTAAGGAGCGAATAAGACAGGAAAATACACCGAGATAAATCGAAATAAGTCATTACATTGATGAACTTGTTTCTCAACGTGGAAAAGGAATAAAGACAGGGTCTTGCCTTTGATTTGGGCTTGCGGTCGTGCGTCGTGAGGTCTGTCGCTACGCCTGAGTGAAATACACAGACTGTCTCTCCTCCCTCTTCGTTTTTCCGCTAAATTCTAGGAGACGCGCCGCTGCACCCACTCGTGACACCACCAGGTAGCACTCTGGTGTTCTCCACGCTGGCACCTGTCCTCTCCCGTGTCTGGGACAAGCAGCGGGTCCCCGGCCTGGCACTGAAATAGAAATACCCAATGTAATTTAGGGCTTGATTGTTTATTTCCAAGCCAATTAGTAAACTGAATCCTAGAATTTGTCATTGAAAAGATCCTGGGACTTCTCAGAAATATGCATTTTTCACAAGCTTTCTAAGTGACTGGAAGCTCATTCAGCAGATTCACGGCCATGAAAGAGCTTCTTATGCAAACTGATCTTCTTGGGGAAAAATAATACCTTTGGAAATTAAACAAGTAGGTTGTTTTTTTTTTTAAGTAGCAGATTTCGAGGTATTACTTAAAGCAGTATTTGTTATTTTTTCCTTTAAAATGTTGTTATTTTATTTTACATAAATAATGTAGCCGGGACACAAGAATCAAAACAAGGTGACCCTGAAAATTGTTACTTTTATTTCCACTTTGCTGCTGCGTGGGCCCCTCATTCCTCATGGGTAATCACTTTTCTCCGTCTTTGTCCCTTCCCTCCCAGTGTTAGTTCCTGCAGCATCAAACAAACAAAAGTGTAATTCTGAGTTTGCCCCTTTGTTGCACAGATGGTACCACACAGGAACGCCATTCTGCAGCTTCGCTTTTTTTCCAGTTGACAATGCATCTTAGAGAACGTTCCACAGCAAGGGCAACATCTCCTTATTTTTTAGCACTGAATAGCATTCCAGTTTGTGAATGTATCCCAGTTTACCTATCCGATCTCTCACCAAGGGGCACTTGTTTTTCTCAACATTTTGCTATTACAAATAATGCAAATAGTTTACACACATTTTTAATTCATATTTAAGAATGTTTATGGGATAAATTCCCATCAGTAGAGTTCTGGTTGAAAAAGTAAATGCGTTTTGTAATTTTTATAGGTATTTCCAAGTTGTTCCCCACAGCGATTGTATCCTTTTGCAGTCCTCTCAGCAATCGATACGGTGGTCCCCACTCCCCCCGCGGGGGATACAGTCCAAGACCTCCAGGGGGGGTCTCCAGCGGGGGTCTCCAGTGGGGGCCTCCAGTGGGAACCACAGATGGCATCGAATCCTACACATACTGCTTTTTCCCCCCATACATATACGCCTCTGATAAAGGTTTAACTTATAAATTAGGCACAGTAAGATATTGGCAACAATAACTAATAATAAAATAGAACCATTTTTAAAATATACTATAATAAAAATTATGTGAGTGTTCCCTGTCTCTCTAAATATCTCACTGTATTGTACTCACCTCTTCACTTAAAGGAAGCATTTTTTTACGGCTTCCCTTTGGCATGTCTGAATGGCCGGCATCACTACTGCTGTGCTTTGGGGCCACTACTGAGTAAAAGGAGGGTGGCTGGAACACAAGTGGTTCCGTTGCGGTTGGTCTGGCAGCTGAGATCCCTGCTGAGTGACTGATGGTCGGCGGAGTGTCAACAGCGTGGAGACGCCGAACACTGGGGGCGGGTGGGGGGGGGGGGGCGGTGCCCCACGGCCGGCCGAGCAGGGTGGAGCCGGACAGCATGAGATCTCATCAACCGACTCGGAACCACACGCAGGTTAAAATGTATAAATTTCACATTTCTGCGATGTTCCAGTTACCGCCTGCAGACCTCGGGTGACTGTGGGGTGCAGAGCCGTGGCTGAGGAGGGGACTCGGTGTCAAAGTGCATCCCTCACCACACATCGGCCAAGGGAGCCTTCTCCCGCGATCCAGCGCGGCCCAGTTGGCGGAAAGCAACAGGTCCGTGTGAGTGCAGTTCGCCTTCGTCACGGCACGGGTGTTTTCCCGTGGCTAAGCACCGTTTGGATCTTAGGTCTGAACCGCCTGTTCTTTGCCCAGTTGGTTGGGCTGCTGGATTATTTTCTTGTTTCTAGGAGTTCATCATGTATTGGAAATACTGGCCCTTACGATGAGAACTGCAAGTGTCCCATATTGTCATTTATCTCTGGACTCTGTGTATATTTTTCCGTGTAACTCTGTCATCATTAGGTGGTCAAGTTTCTCTCTCTCTTTTTTTTTCCCTAGACTTTAAGTCGGAGTTTGTAAGGTGATAAAAGGAAGCGCCATTTAGTGAAAGGAGAGGTAGGCCGCCCACCTGGAGGTTAATCAAGGGCAACCCAGGCAGGGAGACTAAAATACCGACCAACAACGTAAAATGCATCCGCCCTTCAGGGGAAGCGTGACCGTCTGTCTGCCCACGTGAGTCCTGTGCCTGAGACTTTCTGTCCCCAGCTCCCCATACCCACTTCCCCAGCGCCCTTGACCTCCCACCGACACCTGAGGCCCACAGTGACAGACACGGGTCCTCCACCCACGCCCCCTGGAATGTGCTGGGCTCTCGGTTCTCCCTCGGTCCTCACGCAGGGGAGCCCTGCCCCTGAGCCCCTGGCGGTCCGTTCTCCTCCAGACCTCTCCCTGGAGGGTCCGAGTTGGCCTGAAGGGACAGAGTCTGAGTGTTTCAGGGTCTCTTTCTTGGGTGAAGGCTGTGACGTCTGAATGCCACAGCCCCAGGGGCAGGCCCAGGGTAGAAGGGGGCTTCCGCTACTAGGGAGGGCGGCTCCCCACTGCAATGACGGCAGCCCGCAGAGGGGCGGATACGGGGTGGGGAGAAAACCAGCCCCCCGGGGCAGGCAGTCTCATAAAGACACTGGTCTCTGAGGAGCTAAGAAGGTCCTGAAGACAGGGTGTGGCGTCAGGAGGGAGACCCTCCCGCCTGTGGGACCCTGCCACTGCCACCTCACACCACGGGGCGGGGTCTGATGTCACAGCCCCCCCAACTCTGACCCCCTCAAAGGGCAGCTGCTCTGGCAGTCGCTTCCAGGCTCTGAGGGGTGGGCCTGTGGGAGGGGCGGCTGTGGGAGGGGCGTTTTTGTACAAAGATGAAACATTGTGGGGACAGGGGGCCACGGTGATTCATCTCTATGGGAAACCTTTACAAAAACCCCTCTGCCTGTCGCATCCCCGCAGGCCTCCAGGGTCACAGGCCCGAGGGTGACTTGGTTCAGGATGCCTCCAGTGCACCCCGGTCTACTGCCCATTCAAGGCCAAGGGTAAGGACAGGCCTGGATGGGAACTGAAACTTCCAGGCAGAGAGAGAGCCCACATGTAAGGACACCTCAGTGGGGTCATAGGGGAAGGACTCATGGAGACCCTTGCATCTCAGGGCAAGGTCACTGGCAAGGGACATGGGAGAGGACCCATCCTACAGAGGAAGAAGACAGAGGAAACCTGGGTTCTGGGACTCTGTCCCCCTCTCCAGGCCACATCCCCTTCAGAGACCCCCAGAGACCACCGAGAAAGGAAAGGGGCCCTGGGCCCTCTGGATGGACCCTAGCCTCGTTCCGTGGCCCCAGGAGCCAAAGCCGAACCAGCCCTGTGCAACATCTAGAGAGCAGGGGTGGGGGGTGCTCCCATCAGCGCTCATCCTGGAGCCCCCCAGACCAGCCAGGGCCCCCCTCTCCACGCCTCCCTCTGTTTTCCTCCTGGCCCCATGTCACTGTGCAAACACCCAAGTTTTCTTCGGAGACGGCACCAGGCTCACGGTTGTAGGTAAGACACGCTCCAGGTCTTCTGGGCCCCTGGCAGGGACGGCGGGGCCGAGGGGTGCATTTCAGAGTGGTCCTGTTCTGATGTGTTAACTATGACTATACCTTCGGGCCAGGGACCAGGCTGACGGTCGTAGGTAAGGCCAGGGTCTCTGGCAGTGGGGTGGAGTGGGGGGCAGAGGGAGGTCCAGGAGGGAGGACTCGACCCCAGGAAATGTGGGCAGGAAGGGGTGACCCGGCTCTGGGGTCCCGGCTGAGGAGACACCATCTCTGCGTCTGCGGAGGACTCAGACGAGGATCCCTGGAGGGCACCTCTGCCCGGCCACCTGGGCTGCCCTGGGAACTGAGAGCTGAGCCTGGAAGGCAGTGGGCAGAGAAGGGGAGGGGACGGCGCTGCCCCTCCGAGTGCTGGCCTGGGGTAGGGGAGCAGGGGGAGGCCTAGGAGGCCGTGCACGGTCTCTGACGTCGCCCGTCTCTCCTCGCGGGCAGAGGCTCCTGTCCTTCCTCTGTCTGGATTTCCCGGGAGGCCACACTGTGTCTCCCTCCCTGGGTCTCGGGGCCAGCTTCGGTAGGGCATGCAGGGTGTCGGCACTGGGCCAGGGCCCCAGGGCGGGGATCCCAGCTGTATCCAGCACGCCAGGGGGGTTTTGAAATGGACCCAGGAGGCTGTGTTCTGGAAACACCGTCTTCTTTGGGCAGGGCAGCCGGCTCACAGTTGTAGGTAAGCGAGTTGGGGCTGGAGGGCTGGGAGCTGACCAAGAGGGGTGGGGACCCAGACGAAGCCACCATCTTGGGGGCTCAGGTGAAAGCACGTTTTTGTTGGAAAGATCTGAATTCTTGTTTGGATGCAGCCGAGAAGGGACAGGCTCTGTCTCCAGTCACGCCAGGGGCTGGCTGGGCCACGTCTGGGCTCCCCTCCCCTACGGAGGCGAGGGGTGTGCGCTAGGAAGGGGCCTCCTTGTCCTTCTCCGTCTCCTCGGAGGGGGCCCCACCATGGCCGTGACAGATGGAGAGCCTCTGGACGTAGAGACGCCACAGTCCTGCTGCTTTTGTCCCTCACACAGAAGGGGACAGACACAGGAGAAAGCAGGGGGCACGGGGTGCATGGGGCTGAATAGGTCCTCTTACTATAGTATTTCAGGGGCCAGCGTTGTCCCGCTGCCTCCACCTACCGCCTGGAGCTAAAGTTCACCTGAGAAAAAGGAGAGAGCTGGCAGGTGGCCTCGGGGAGGAGGAGAGGAGGGCGGCAGGGGCAGTTTCCCTATGAGGCTTCCGTGCTGTGTGGGTAATGAAAAGCTGTTTTTCGGCAGCGGGACCAAGCTCTCTGTCTTGGGTAAGTAAAAGGCTTCCCCGGGAGAGTGTGTTATGAGGCTGGAGGCTCGGGAGGATCCCTTAGAAAGGACAGAGACTGAGAACACCACAGGAAAAAGGCTCAGAGCGTGTGGGTGAGCGGGGCAGAGCCCCCAGGAGCCCTGGGGGACGCTAGCTTCTGGAAAGAGTGGCCCCACCGGTTCTGGGGTTTTGTACATGTCCATTGTGCTGTGCAACAACGAGGTGCAGCACTTTGGAGCTGGGACTCGACTCTCTGTCGTAGGTAAGGCAAAGGACCGAGGCGGCAGAGCACCGTCCCTTGGACCTGGACACTGGCGCTCCTCCCAGGCCTGGTGGAAGGGGGTTGAGTACACTCTGTGATGCCCCCAGGGATCCCCCCAGGGGCTCCCAAGGAGCTGTATCTGCTCCGCTTTGGTGCAGCTTGGTGGACTCAGTCTGCAGTGCGTCCCCAGCCTCCTCACCCCTTTCTTGGTTCATCCTCCTCCTCCTTACACAGGCTGCATGCCCCTCCTGAGCTGCTTCTTCTTTCCTCTCGCTCCCCGTTCCCTGTTCCATGCTTTGGTCTTCCTCCTAACGGAATCTCTTGGCCCAGGGCCATGACTCCAGGCAGGGAAAGGAGGCCGTCAGGTAGCTAAGGTCTGCCTCCTGGAGGGAGACCGCGGCTGGGTTTTACCACAGGCCTCTGCTGCTGTGTTCCTATAATTCACCCCTCAACTTTGGGGCCGGCACCAGGCTCACCGTGACAGGTACGGGGTTGAACTCCAGACTGGGCGGGGTGCCTGTGTCGGACCACGGTGATGGGTCCCTGGGAGGGCAGTGGGGTGTCAGGACGGGATCAGAGCCCCCCTTTCCTGCCGGAGCTCGGGGGCCATCCCCACCCTGCCCGGAGCCTCCCCACCTGGCTCTGCTGTGTGTGTGCCACGTCCCTGCTGGGTCTTAGGGCTCTGTGCTTCTCTCTCCCCTTTCTGTTGTTCCCCAGACTCCTTCTCTCTTCTCCTCCTTTTTTAATGGCTGTGTCGATTTACTTTCCCTTTCTTATCTGATCTCCGTTTTTTCTCCCTCCTGTTTTAACTCCGTCCCTGCATTGTTCACTCCGCTGTGGCGAATAGCTCTGTGTTCTACGTGAACAGCCTGCCCGGCACCTGCCTGCAGCCCAGAGCTCTGCCCTGGCCTTCATCACCCTCCCCCTCTGTCTCAGCTGGTCTCCAGAGACCCCTGTGTGTCTTTCTGTGGCTGCTGGAGGGCTCAGGAACATGGGGGTCCAGACCGGTGAGGCCGGGGTGGTGTGAAGGGTGACCCTGAGCCCCGAGGGCAGAAGTCCCTGTCTGGAACTGCGGGGGAGGGGGTCTCTGGAGCCACTGTGCTTGGTCGGGGCTGGAGGACATAAGTCCGTACAGACCACTACAGCTGGAAACCCACGCCACCTTAGCAACCGACAAGGCGTGAAGAGGAGAAATAGGTAGGAGGCCGCATTTTCTCAAACCTCTGGCTGGGATTACAGGGCTAGGGGTCCATCGTGAAACACGAACACCCCGTTACCACGCTTCGGGGGGAAGCCAGCAGTTGGAGGAGCAGGGCAGGGACAGAGGGGTCTGGGCTGGAGAGGCAGACCAGGCTGGAGGAAGGGGACACGTGGGCCCCAGACTGGCTGCCTGGCTGGCTGGACCAGGCTTTGTCCACAGACGGGGCACAAGCCAGGACTGTGATGGAAGCTGAAAGTTCAGATCACGGGGGTTCAGAACGCCTGGGTTCTGGGGGAAGGGGCTCCCGCGATCAGAAAGTGACATGTATGAAACGGCAATAACGACGCCAGGTGCTCGGGGCCCTCACGCGGGCAGGGGCTGGCTTTGGAGCGAAAATCCTTGGTGAAAGACTCGCCTTCGGTGGCCATTCTTTTCATTCCCGTTGTTCAACGTTCCCTGGGCCACAGAGTCAGCCTTTTGCCAGACCTGTGTCTCAACCTCCCTGTCAGAAACTTGTCCCAAATTTGGATCAAGGAGAGCTATCTGGGTTGGCCACGCCGCCGCTGCCAAACCTCATGCCTGTGGTCAAAACAGAGCCGAATCCAGGGCTCAGTAAACGCTGACCAGAAGGAGCGTGCTGGAAAGATGGACGTGGTTTCTCCCATCTCTCTGTGTCTTCAAGTGGGGACGTGTCTTCACATAATTTGAGAACTCCTTTCTCTCCCATCTGCCAGGCTGGAAACAGGCCCAGGGGCATGTAATATGGACCCGCTGATGAAAGGACATTGGGACTTTGGGATTTGTTCCTATCCAGTGACCAAGCTCTTATTGCTTTTAAGACGGCAAAGCTTGGGTGTGAACTAGGTCCCCAAACCTGGCAGGGAGGCTTGCTGAGCAGTGGAAGGAAAAAAGGTCTCGACCCACGGGAGTCATCTTGGGCAAGCTACCGCACACCCCATGTGCCCCAGGGTAGGAGGAAGTGTGGACATCTGAGAAGATAGTAGCCAGAGGCACCTTGGCTCCTCAAAGCAGGTTACACTGAAAAGAAAAGAGAAAAGAGAAGGAAAGAATAGAAAAGAAAGGAAAGGAAAGGAAAGGAAAGGAAAGGAAAGGAAAGGAAAGGAAAGGAAAGGAAAGGAAAGGAAAGGAAAAAAGAAAAACAAAGGAAGGGAGGGAGGGCAGAAGCAGAGAAGGAGGGAGGGGGGAAAGAAAGAGAGTTGAGTATAGTTTAGAGAAAACAATATAGTCAGATGTGACGGGGAAAGTGTCTCTTCTAGGCAAGGAAGGCTAATGCTTATATGTGCAAACGTCCAAGCTGTAAAATGCATACAGTTTAGGAAACAGGGCAATGATAACAAGAAAGGGGCCATGTAGTTCCTAGGGTTACATTGCTAGCGAGAATCTTCTGCCTCAAAATCCAGGCTCATTCAGCTCTGCCGGAGCCACTTCTAAGTCTCAAAGATGACATCGTGCCCCAAAGAGGGCTTTGAACAAAGACGAAAAATACACAGACGTACTCTTCTGATAGATACTCGAGCAAGGCCCTGAGGGTGAGCCTTTGCAAAGAAACCCAAGAAAATCGGGACATAAAAGTCCCCCTAGGGAGACTGAGAGGACATGGGGTGACTGAAAAGGAGGTGGCAAAGTTGAAAGAGAATGACAACAAAGAATGGGACTGAAATACCAAAACACACAGGACCTACTGCCGATTTTGTTTTACAATGACCTCCTTCTCAGTGTGCACACACACACACACACACACACACAGCCTCTACCAAACCCAGACAGCTCTCACACTGACCCTGGTGCCCACCCCTCTCCCCTTCCAGAGAACCTGAAAAAGGTGAAGCCACCCCGGGTCACCGTGTTTGAACCATCGGAAGCAGAGATCGCCCGCACCCAGAAGGCCACGCTCGTGTGCCTGGCCACGGGCTTCTACCCCAACCACGTGGAGCTGAGCTGGTGGGTGAATGGCAAGGAGGTCCAGAGTGGGGTCAGCACCGACCCCCAGCCCTACAAGGAGCACTCCGACCTCAATGACTCCAGCTACTGCCTGAGCAGCCGGCTGAGGGTCTCGGCCCCCTTCTGGAGCAACCCCCGCAACTACTTCAGCTGCCAAGTCCAGTTCTACGGGCTGGGAGAGGACGACGCTTGGGAGGAGAAGGACGGTCCCAAGCCCACCACCCAGAACATCAGCGCTGGGGCCTGGGGCAGAGCAGGTGAGCGGGGCCTGGGAGGGCCAGGCAAGCAGCGAGGCAGACCAGGGAGACGGGGGAGGGGGCGTGTGGAAACCCCCAAGGCCAGGTCCAGAGGAAAGGGGTGGGGTGGGGACATGAAAGCCCACCATGCAGGAGAACAGGGCCCCTCGGACGAGTTCTTCCCCAGACCCCACACCGTGCTGCTTCGCTGCCAGGCCTCTCACTGCCGGACTGGGTGGCTTAGCATCTGTGTGGCGTGTGTCAGAGCTGCCACATGCGCCCCGTGCGTGTCAAGGACAGCATGGCCTCATGGGCACAAAGGAAGGCAGACAGTGCTGGGCTCCTCTGGTCTGGGCCTCAAGTCACACTGACTGCAAGGCTGACCTAGTGTGTCACCTGCTCACCCACTTCCCTCCCCTTTCTTCTTTCAGATTGTGGTGTCACCTCAGGTAAGTGACCCTCTGCTTCTTGCTCTCCATCCCCCGTGGTTTTGCTGTGGAACCAGAGAATGGTGGGGGTGGCGGGGCTGAGATACCCGTTCACAGGTACTTACCTGCTCTCCCTTCCTGCCAACAGCGTCCTATAAGCAAGGGGTCCTGTCTGCCACCCTCGTGTATGAGATCCTGCTGGGGAAGGCCACTGTGTATGCAGTGCTGGTCAGCGCCCTGGTGCTGATGGCCATGGTATGAGGGGCAGGGTGCGGTGGGCAGGTTGGAGGTGACATTGAAGCACAGTAATGTACTCAGAGCCAGGAGTACAGGGACTCTGCCAGGATCCAAGGTGGGCAGAGGGAACAGGGGGTTTACCTGCACGCCTTAGAAGAGGCCCGGTATCTCTGGGATCTCAGTGGAAGAGCCACGAGGGAAAGGGAAGTTGGGGTCACCCACTAGAGAGTCAGTGGGCCATCCTGCTTCCTCTCAGTCCCCACCACTCTGGGTAAGTCCGAAACCTTCTCCCCTTCAGGTCAACAGAAAGGATTCCTGATGCCAGCTCAGAGGCAGAGCCACGAACTTCCAGCCTGCTACCACCCCAGTGTGGATTCCCCTTTTCCCATTCCCAGCCAGTGCTTCTGAAGAGCCGTTCTCGTCTCTCAGCTCATCCCCACGTACCTGCACAGCGGGGTGCTCGTGACTGCAATCTCCCTGACCCCAGGGGCGCCCCGGTGGGCCTGAATGGCCTGAACCAATAAAAATGGCCTGTTCTCGCTTGATTCTGCCTGCAGTGTCTACTTAGCTCCTTTGCCCACCTCTAAGCTCTCGTGGATGCCAGTTGGGATAGAAACAAGAGGCATTCAGGGAAAGTGCAGTCGCCTCGGGTACCCAGGGGCCCTGCCCGTGACTGGCATTGCTCCTCCCCCTCAGGAACTGCAGAAAAATGGAAGGTGGGGGTAGGGCGTGAGGAGGCTTACTCCCGAACAGCCTGGGTACGTGGTGATGTTGGCCATAGCAACCTCAGACCTACCTGGACAAAGGTGCTCTGTGGAAGAGCTGACCCACACAGGTGTGTCCACCCATCAAAGGGTCATTTCCCCCTGGCCCACAAAGCGTGGTGTCCCATACATCGCCCCTGTTCCTGTCAGTCGTCTGGCTGAGTGCCCTGCCCATCTTCCCTTGTCACCAGCCAGGCTTCCCAGCCGAGAAGAGAGTGCGCTGGTTTGGACATGGTGTCTTCCAGTTGGAGGGATAGACTTGTTTATACATTTCTCCCCAGCGATTTAACGGGTGCATGGAGGCACTTGGATCGTGCCGGGAAGGATAGAAAATAGTTTCCCTAAAGCCAAGGATCAGCCTTATCACTATTTCTAGAAATCCTTCCAGAGCTCCTTGCTGTCTCCCTCCCCGTGGCGATGTAGTCCAAAGTTCTTAGGACGGCGTGTGTGTGTGGGGGGGGGGGGGGGCCATGTGCTCCACCTCCTCCCACCACACTTGCTCCCCTCCTCTCACCCCCGAACCCCCTGAGCCACCTGCTTCCAGGCCATCCTGCACCCCTCTACCTAGCAAGGTCAAGTCCTCTGAGAGCTCCTCAGCCTTAAAGACGTAGCTCCAGCATCTCCCCTGCGGGAGGCCTTCTCTGGAGCTTCCTGGCCCCTCACTGCCTTGGGGCTGGGTGAAACGCACCCTATGTTTTGCTGCCACAGTGCCCTCTGCACACATCCTGCAGGACACCACACCTGGTAGAAACCACCTCTTCCCTCGTCCGACACCCCCATTTGGCGGTCAGCTCCTTGACGACAAGGCTGTGCTTCATTACGGTAACCCTGGGGTGCGGCAGAGGACCCTGGTTCGTTGTGGGAACCCCATAAACTGTCTCTGAATACATGAGTGAATGAATGGGTGAACCCAAAGCGACCCAGCTGGGGAGCAGACATCCTGAAACAGCGTCTCCCCCTGCCGTCTGCAGGGCCCAGAGCACAGCCCACAGCCGTCCTTCTCTAGAGCAGCACACGCGTGCATTCAAGTGGGGGGTTGTGCACACACACACATATGTGCATACACACACACGTTTCTATGCACACATGTATGAACACACACGTTGGGCGCATACATCGCAATGCTTTGCTATGAACGTTGGGGGCAAATAAAGATATCCAAGTCGCAGTCCCCAAGCTCCCCTGCTCCCAAAAGGGATCGTTCATGAATAGAAATAGCTGAGATACAAAGTGGTGCTTGGAAACAGCAATGTGAGCTGTCTGCTAAAACGCAGCCAGAGGCTAGTGCTCCGATTTCTGACCGGGATCCTCAGGAAAGAGCCTGAGAGGCTGGAAAAGTTCTTCAGAGGAAGGACTGATCTCAGTGAGCAGTGTGGGAGAGGGGTTGTGACGCCCAGGGGCACGCACAAAAGCCGAAACAAGGCAGCCAGAGGGCCGGGAGCTTCTGGGCACAAGGTTCAGAGACAGGGGTCATAAACGTGAGGCTGAAAAGGCGGGTCGGTGCACCTCACTCTCAGGACGGACCAGTGTGAGGCCCGGCACATAGTAGATGCTCATGAAATACCTGTGGACTGAAGGAAGGCTAAGGACCTTGGACTCTGTTCAGGAAGCAGGGGGGGATCATAGAGGTTTCGGGGCAGCGGCACAGGCTGCCCCTATGTTGCTGTCACCTGCTCTATGGACCCCACCCCTGGCTCCTCCCACCACGCCCGACTATAAATGTGCAGGTGGGCACGGTGAGCCCCAGAGGGGAGACCTGGTGACACAGAAGAGCTCAGAGTGCTGTCGGCTCCAGAGCGGGGCCTCTCCGCCCCACCCCCACAAACACTGCGCTTCCCCACGCCCCTCCCCACTCTAGACCCTACTCTGAGTTGCTCTTTCCCCAGCTCCCCCCACCCCACCCGCAGTCAGACCACCCTCTGCCACCTGCGCTTCCTGCCTCTGCGCAGTGGCTGGGGGAAGGGGCCCAGAGGGGAGGAAACCTTTTTGTATCATGGTGTAGCATTGTGGCAACAGTGGGGGGGCCACGATGATTCAAGTGGAGGAGATGCTTTTACAAAAAGCCCTGCCTCGAAAAATACCCACAACCCGTGCCAGGAGGGCAGTTCCCAAATGGGGACAGGTCTCTGGGGCTGGTCCCTGAGGAGGGCCTGCAGGGACCCGGACTCTGCGAACACCTCTGCGTCTCTCTGCCCCAGAATCAACTTCCCAGAATGCAGAGGGCCAAGGCGGCAACGTGGGATCCTCACTCAGCACCTCTCCTAAAACCTGCCCTTTGTTGACAAAGTGCTTGCACGTGCGTTAAGCATCAACACTCACAGTGACCCCATGGGAAAGACATTATGCCATTTTTCAAATGAAGAAACTGAGGCCACAGAGGTTTTACGAATCATGAGGCAGGGTCTACCCTGGAACACCCCCCAGCTCCAGCCGCAACCACCCCACCGACACCCGCGTTCAGATTCCACCGCCACCACCACCGCCGCGCCGCCGTCTTGTCCCCAAGCCAAATTAATTCCCTTTGCAAACTGGCGGTGACCTCCTGCGGTGTCCACATTACCGGTCCCGCCAGTTCTGGAGGTGGGAAGAGGGAAGCCGGGAAGGACCAGGAGGGTGGCCCTCAGGCTTCGCCAAGGGAGGTGGAGAAGGGGGAGGAATTCTGGCCAGCCCCTTCCCACTGTGCTCCTACGCCGAGCAGCACTTTGGCCCAGGCACCCGGCTCACCGTGCTAGGTAAGAGCCACTCCAGGTGAGAGGGAGGGCGGCTGCTCAGCCCGGAGGAGCCCCTGAACCCTGGCCCTCAGACACTGGGCGCTGGACCCTCCGAAGGGCCAAGTCCGCGAAGGTGGGGTTTGCGCCTGGGTCCCCGGGGCTGTGCAAACACCGGACAACTGTACTTCGGCAACGGTTCCAAGCTGACCGTGCTTGGTAAGGAAAGCAGCTGGGGGTCCAGAGCGCTCCGCGGGACGGGATGGAGAGAGGGGGGCAGCTACCCAGCCCCATTCAGAGGCAGGGCCGCTCCTGGGCGCGGGGCGCCGGAATCGGGGTGCTGAGTGAGCTGCGCAGCGCCCAGCGTGTCTGGGGACCTGGCCGAGTGCAGGGCAGCCGCAGAGGACAGCACCAGGGTTTTTGTCCTGCGTCTCGGGGCTGTGAACACAGATACTCAGTATTTCGGCCCAGGCACCCGGCTGACCGTGCTAGGTAAGCAGGAGCGCCAGGGGGACCAGGAGGGGCAGTGGGGACGCTGCGGGACGCCAGGGGTGGCGGCGCCTGTTTTTGTGCTGTGCGCGGGTGCTGTGGGCCAAAACACTCAATACTTCGGCCCGGGCACGCGGCTGACCGTGCTAGGTAAGCGGAGGCGCCCGCCAGGGACGCGCGGGAAGCACGCGGGTTTTTGTGTGGGGCTCCGGGGCCGTGACGGAGAGACCCAGTACTTCGGGCCGGGCACGCGGCTCCTGGTGCTAGGTGAGCGGCGCGGGCCAGGTTTTGGTGGGGAGCGCTGGGGCCGTGCACTACAGGCGCAGCCCTGACTTTCGGGGCCGGCAGCCGGCTGACCGTGCTGGGTGAGTGGCCGCGGGACTCGGCGGCGGGTCGGGATGGACGGCGGCGGCGCAGGGTCTTTCCCCATCTGGGCACCTGGTCCCCTGCGCCGCGCCTGAGGCGGGCTGGGGCCGGGGAGAGGGAAGCGGCTGTGGCGCGGAGGGGTTTGCGTGCGGGGCTGCCACTCTGTGCTCGTATGAACAGTACTTCGGCCCCGGCACCAGGCTCACGGTCGTAGGTAAGAATCGATGCCGCCCAGTCCTCCATCCCGAGCCCCGGGGTCTCCGGAGAAGGGCGGGTGGCCAGGGCTGGGACGCGGCGAGTTTCCCTCCCTAGGGCCGGCTCTGCGAAGGCGGAAAGAGGGGTGGGGCGCTGAAGGTCCGAGAACGTGGACGGAGGGTAAGGGGGGCTTTGGGTCTTTTTTTCTTTCTGGGGCATTTAGGGACACGGTGACACGGTGGAGAAGGGGGTTTAATAGCACTCTGAGAGCTGCTCGATGGGAGAGGGAGACTCAGTCGGGACTACCCGGGCCGGGGAAAGGGTAGGAGAGGGTTAACCGCCGCACCGGGGGGACTCGGTGGCGGTGGCGGGGCGGGAGAGAGCAGGGATGAGCTGGGCGGGTGGGCACCCCGCAGGCCCGGATCCCGGGAGCTGCAGGTGGAGCGAACCCTGAGCAGAGGAGGGAAAGGGACGGCAAACACGGTGGAAGAGGGCGGCCAGGACGACAGAGAAATAGGAGTCACTGAGGAAAAGCTAGGGTTTTTCTTTTATTAGATGTAAAATAAGCATGGGTTTGATATTAGAAAGCTTGGATTTGAAATTCGATTTAAAACCCTGTCTGTCCTCAGCCTCAGGCCCCTGGGGGCCAGGGCAGCCTGTGCAGCACCCAGTCCGGCCGGTGGCTGGTCCTGGGTGGGGTGGGGGACCTTAACCTCGGCCATTGGGGCGCACTCACCCCCAGATGCACCCCCCTCCCCCAGCCTGAAACCATTGTCTTCACACTAAGTATTCCACCTTAAACGGTCTGGATGCTGCGGGAAGGTCACTGGTCACCAATACGTTAAAATGCAGATCTTTTGCTGTGAGGTGAGGCAAATTGTCAGGACAGCCTGAGGCTCTCAGAGCTGGGGGTGAGGGGGGCCTTCCGAGCCACCTGGTGATGAGGGGGTCGAGGCCAGAGAGGGGAGAACCGGGTGCCCTGGATTCTCTGGTAGCCAGACACAAGCACGGGCTGCGTTAGACTCATTCAGCTGCAGCCAGTGGGGCTCAGCTGGAGTTGCCCAGAGGACACGCTGGCTTCCTGCGGTCAGCCAGGGTGGAGGACAGGCCTGGAGGTTAGGCCCAGGTAAACCCAGACCTCAGCCCTTGACTCTCTCTAATGATCCGTGACCTTGAGCAAATGTGTCGGTGTGACCCTCAGTTCCCTCTGCTGAGCAGCACCATCAGCAGAGCCTCCCACTGGACGTTGTGAGGCTCACAAGGGCAGGCCCTGGTAGAGCATCCAGCAAGGGGTGGCTGGCTGTAGTTCAGTGCTCCCCTTCCCCAGCCCTGATCGCTGTGCAGTGGGGGAGGGGGAGGGGGGGTTGAGGCCAGTCCCATAGCAGAGGCAGGATTTGGCCTGTGGATAATGGGGTGCAGCCCTGGGGGTGGGGGTGAGAGGGGAGTCAGGAACCGGGAAGATAAACTGCACACTTCACAAGCAGAACACACACACACACACACACACACACACACACACACCCCAGTACACGCCCCACAGGGACTCACAAAGATGGAGGGATAACCGGCCTGCTCTCACTGCAGGGCTGTGCAGACAGCACCTCCAAGTGTCACAAAGCCCCTGCTTCTGCTTGTCCTGCCCGTCGCATCAGTAAACACTGAGGGGAGTGCCACACGCAGCTCAGAGGACACATGTAATGTCTACACTGGTGACCGAGTGTGAGGGGTCCCATACTCAGTATGAGGGGTCCCCCGGGGTGAGGGGTCAGAGGGGTGCATGTGTGGTACCCCTGGAAGGCTGGGGGGGCATCCCAGAGGCAGGGTCTCGGAGACGAGAGCAAGTTAACCAGGCTGCGAGCGGAAGGGTTGATGGAGCCGGAGCTGCGGGCAGCAGTAGGGACGTGACCGTTTGCTCTGGGCCGGCCAGTGAAGACCTCGGGGACACAGGAGCAGTGCGCAGGGCGGACATGCAGGGCCGGGAGCTGACAGGCAGGGACGCAGGACCGGCTCAGGGTGCAAATGTGGGGGGCTCTTGTTAGAAAATTATTTAGAATTTCAAAACGGTTGCCCGCGGCCCTGAATCCAAGTGTGCGGCCCCGGGGAAGTCCGGGACCCTGTGTGACCTTGCAGATGTGACCCCACTGCCACAGACATAGGACGCGTCAGTCAGAAGAGCGTCTTCTCCATCTTCCAGGCTGAAGTAGGTTCTCGTAAGAACGAGGTTTCTTAATGTTTAACGGAGTGGCTAGAAAGAAACAAACAACGTGCACAGAAAGCACAGATCAGGATACAATGGAAGCAGAACAGCCCAGAGGAAGTGAGCCGGCCAATCAGAAGGCTGCGCGGGTCCACGGGAATGCCCCTCACCTGTGGCCCCGGAGACCCTGTAGACAGGCTCGGGACACACACGGCATCGTGACAACAACTGGGAGCAGCAATCTGTTGCTGTAATGTCCTCAGATGCTGACGTAGGAAGCTTGCTGGTGGGGAAAGACACAGGCTTTGGAAACAAAGGGGCGGAGAAGGTTGGCGATGCCTGAGTGTGACACCAGGGGAGACTGTGCTCTGTCTGAGCTGAGGAAAACTGGGGCGGGGGGGACGTGGCAGGGAAGGCATGGCTGGGATGGCTCCATGAACCTCACCAAGGTCATGAGCACGCCACACAAAAGGGTGCCCTCACCTGAGTGCACAAAACTATGCCATATGCACACTGTCATCTGAAGACAACCCCAGCCCCCAAATATCCCCCTTGTCCCCAGCTCCCCTCTCCTCCTCAGCTGCTGAGATTCAGATACAAATAACCCGCTGTGGGCGGGGGGGTTCTGAATCCTTTCATCATTGGGTCTTCACTCCCACTCTGCCCCATCAATGTTCTGAGCTTCCCTACAGAGCAGGAAAACTGCTGCAGAGAAATCAAGGTCCTGAAGTCACACAGGTGGGCCAAGTCAGCTCTGCGATTTGGATCCCGCTCTTCGGATTCCAGTCCAGTGCTCCATTTTAGTAACTACTGCAATGGTGAGAAGTCAACAGGTAGCTTCTATTGATGGTGAAGAAATGAAATAGCATACTCGGAAGGTTAGACAGTGGTATTCATAATGCCACCTTAGGGAGAAGGAGAGACAGCGGAGAGTGACGCCCAAACACACAGGACCTACTGCAGATTTTGTTTTACAATGACCTCCTTCTCAGTGTGCACACACACACACACACACACACAGCCTCTACCAAACCCAGACAGCTCTCACACTGACCCTGGTGCCCACCCCTCTCCCCTTCCAGAGAACCTGAAAGAGGTGAAGCCACCCCGGGTCACCGTGTTCGAGCCATCGGAAGCAGAGATCGCCCGCACCCAGAAGGCCACGCTCGTGTGCCTGGCCACGGGCTTCTACCCCGACCACGTGGAGCTGAGCTGGTGGGTGAATGGCAAGGAGGTCCAGAGTGGGGTCAGCACCGACCCCCAGCCCTACAAGGAGCACTCCGACCTCAATGACTCCAGCTACTGCCTGAGCAGCCGGCTGAGGGTCTCGGCCCCCTTCTGGAGCAACCCCCGCAACTACTTCAGCTGCCAAGTCCAGTTCTACGGGCTGGGAGAGGACGACGCTTGGGAGGAGAAGGACGGTCCCAAGCCCACCACCCAGAACATCAGCGCTGGGGACCTGGGGCAGAGCAGGTGAGCGGGGCCTGGGAGGGCCAGGCAAGCAGCGAGGCAGACCAGGGAGACGGGGGAGGGGGCGTGTGGAAACCCCCAAGGCCAGGTCCAGAGGAAAGGGGTGGGGTGGGGACATGAAAGCCCACCATGCAGGAGAACAGGCCCCCTCGAACGAGTTCTTCCCCAGACCCCACACCGCGCTGCTTCGCTGCCGGGCCTCTCACTGCCGGACTGGGTGGCTTAGCATCTGTGTGGCGTGTGTCAGAGCTGCCACATGCGCCCCGTGCGTGTCAAGGACAGCATGGCCTCATGGGCACAAAGGAAGGCAGACAGTGCTGGGCTCCTCTGGTCTGGGCCTCAAGTCACACTGACTGCAAGGCTGACCTAGTGTGTCACCTGCTCACCCACTTCCCTCCCCTTTCTTCTTTCAGATTGTGGTGTCACCTCAGGTAAGTGACCCTCTGCTTCTTGCTCTCCATCCCCCGTGGTTTTGCTGTGGAACCAGAGAATGGTGGGGGGTGGCGGGGCTGAGATACCCGTTCACAGGTACTTACCTGCTCTCCCTTCCCGCCAACAGCGTCCTATAAGCAAGGGGTCCTGTCTGCCACCCTCGTGTATGAGATCCTGCTGGGGAAGGCCACTGTGTATGCAGTGCTGGTCAGCGCCCTGGTGCTGATGGCCATGGTATGAGGGGCAGGGTGGGCAGGCAGCATGGAGGGAGAGGGTGAAACATCATACATAGGATGGGACAGGATCTCAGAGACTGAACTTGGCGCTGACATAGCCTTCCAGCTCCAAGTAATTGTAATGGGACTGCCAGAACGTGTGGGGATCATTCCAGACTGCTGCATTGGAGGATGGGGAGAGTCACACAGCCCTACCCCGAATCAGGGCCAGAGTCAGCCCCCTCTCACTCACTCCTACTCTTCATGGCCTGTAGGACCCCGAGAGTGTCCTTTTTTTTGCAGGTCAAGAAAAAGGATTCCTGAGACCAGTTCCAAAAGCACATCCAGAGTCGTTTTTAGTCCTCTCCCCAGATTCACCTGTGCATGATTCCAGTCTGCGTTCCTAAGGAGGTGTTCTCTCTCCACCTTTTATCTCCTTCCTGCATAGACGCCTGTCCCTTCTCTCTGGGGCCCTGCAGACTGAGCGCCTCAACCCTGGATCTAAACAGATTAAGCCAATAAACGTGTTGTGCTGGACCTGGTTGTGTTTCAAGAGTGTCTGTGGAGTCCTGCCCTTGGAAGGCACACCTTGTCATTAAGGGAAAGCACCACCTCTCAGGCACAAGGAGTGATTGACTATCCTCTCTGACTGGTACTGCTCCTTCCTGTGCATCCTGGTGGAAGGTGGACCGTGTGGTCCATTGCGAGGCATTCTGGGGCCCCAGTCCATACAGTTAGTCTAAAGGACAAGGTTCTGGGCTCTTGAAAAAGGGTGAGCCCAGGGGACTATAACCCCCACCTCAGCATGAGATAGAAGACAGGGTACACCTGTGGGTTGGAATGCCCAGTGGTTTCCCAATTCCAGATTCATGTCCCATTTATTACGCATTTAGGTTTTATCTCTGTCTCGGAACACCTACATCTTATCTTATTTTGGGATTTTGGCACAAGATTTAGTTCTGTTCTGTGTGTCTAGGTTAGAATCCTAAAGAAGGCACAGAGTTAAAAATACTGAGATGTGAAACCTGAAGACTTCCCAGAGGCAGGACACATGGGGTCAGGCCCTGGGGGAGGAATGGGGACAGAAGGCAGGGTTCAGTGGGGGTCAAGGTCCTACACCTTCCAGTGGGCACCTTCACGTAAAGGGACGGAGACTGGGCCACCCCAGAGGCAGCACACTGAGTGCCCCCACTTGGGCAGACGGTTACGTCCCTCAGTAAACTCGACGTGCAGGTTGCATTCGCTGCACTGAGGAGGCGGGGCATGCAAGTAGAGGAAAGAAGGCACAGGTGGAGGGTGAGAAAGGCCATGTGTAGTAAGGTACTTGAGGCTGAATATTAGGGGTGAGAAGGAAGTCTGAAGGCTGAGAAAGGACAGAAAAGAGGGAGTGTTTACTGAGGATGGCCTGCGCTGCTCCAGACCTGGGGCTGGGCACGGCCCCGGTGAATGCCCACATCAACCCTAGAAGGTGCAGGGATTAGTCTCCCCACTTCATACTTGAAGAAGGCACCGTTCGTAGATCACGTGACAGGTAAGCTGTGACACTGGCACATTCCTCAGACGATGGCAGTTCACGAAGTGTTTCCAAGTCCTGGCCAGGATGGCGGGATTTGTCACGGGCTGGCCCTGCATCAGCTGCTCCCAAACTCCGGGGCGGGGCCCACCGTAAGAGCATGACGAGCCCTTGAGTCCCGAGTGTATCTGTTCCCCGGCGCTGCTGTAACGAAGAACCCCAGCCTTGGTGGTTTAAAACGAAATGCGCCGGAAGTCCAGAGTCAAGGGGTTAGCCGGGTTACACTCCCTTCAAAAGGGCTAGGGGAGAAATCTCTCTTGCTTCTTCCCATTTCTCTTGGCTCCTGTCATTCCCGGGTGTGTGGCAGCCACATGCCAACCTCACATCTGTCTTCATGTCACTTTCTCCCTGTGTCTGTGTGTCTAGGTGTCCCTCTCCTTTTTCTTACCAAGGCAGGACTCATTGGACTGAGGATGCGCCCTAAATTCAGAGGGACTTCATCCCGAGATCCTTAACGTTTATATCTGCAGAAACCTGATTTCCACATTAGGTCACATTGGTGGGTATGAATTTCGGGGGGACATCATTCATCCCACTACACTGAGCATCCAGGAACCGGAAGTGAGAGGGAGGGCTGTCTCAATCAGCTCACAGGGGCCAGGAGAGGAGGTGGCCCAGGGCAGGGGTGGCCGAGAGAAACCACCCCATCACTATGACTTCCCATCAGTCATAATTACCTCTGGATTGCTCTAACTGTAATACAGTTGTTTTTATTTGGCGTTGCTGTTGTTGTCTATTTGTTTTTGTAATGGCTACATAAGTCCCCAAACAAAGGAGACAGAGTTTAGGCCCTAGACCAGCATCCACAAAACAGGGCCTGCCATTCTTTAGATATGTGTGGTAGTCCCTCACAAAGGTGGGGGAGGGAGGGGGGTGGCTGAAGGGACAGTCAGCGCCTCAGAGGGAACAAGACATCGCATGGGCCAGGGGGAGTGGATGGGGAGAGGGGTGATGGGGGATGGGTGGGGTGTGGGGGGATGGGCTACTGGGGGACAGGGGTTTGTCCCAGCAGCGCTGTGAGGAAGGGGCTGAGCAGAAGTAGGGCAAGCGTCAAGGTGCAGGTGGGAGAGGAGGGTTACCCTCACCACAGAGAAGCGGGGTCTGCGGGCTTGGTGGCTGTCATCTCGGGGGGCCAAAAGCAGAGGCCTGAGCAGGTGGGAGGATGTGGGAGAAGCAGCTGGTCGGCCCCTGGGGCTCGCCCAGGTGAGGGAAAAAGGCATGCCCCTTGCAGGATGAATGCCTTCATGCAGGAGGCATAATAGAGACAGAGACAGTTACCGGCTCCACTGGGTCCCCACCCAGCACCCCACTCGGCCCCGGGAAGGCTCCTCCTCTCCAGTCTTCGCAGCCACGGAGAACGGGCACTCGAGACCTCTGTGGAAGCTCCCCGTGTGCAACCAGGAGGTCTTTCAGACAGACAGCACTGCCCACAGCATCCAGTACGTGGGCCCTGGGGAGTTAGGCTCTTCCGTCCCTGCCTCCTCAAGAGGAATAAATCAGGGTTGTCCTCCTAAGTGGCCAGGACTCGGGGACACCCCGGTTAAAGGGGCCCTGAGGGGGATTCTGGGTCCAGAGGTATTCCTGGAATGGAAGGCATTAGAGCAGTTCCTCCACTACTTGGGCCTGTTGAGCTGTTCCCGTCTCAGGCTGCTCTGAGGTCCATCCCATTAAGGAAACCCATGGGCAGAATGTAGTGCGGGACAAGGGACACCCAGTGCAAGGGCAGAGCATCCTTACTGATGGAAGAGACTTAGGAGTCAAGCACCTCTAGAAGAATGCCCGGGGTACCCCAAGTTCCCACTGTCCCCTGGGGTCACAGCGGGAGAAGCCCAGGAAAGGAACCTCAACCCAAATGGCCTTTAGAGATTGATCCAGGAATTCAGAGGAGGAAGGAGGCATCCAACAGGTCACGTAATAAGGGGAACGTCCTGGTTGGAGGAAAGGGACTCCTGTGGGGCGGGGCTCGTCCAGTCACTGTCGCTCGCTCAGAAGAATTCTCCTATCACCATCAGTATTCGCTGGAGACCCGCAATTCTTCCTACTGCGCAGCTCCCGGCCGGGCTGCGCAAGCTCGGGCGGTGGCAGTGGGGGATAGACGAGGCTGGGACCAGCAGAGACAAAGAGCTTTCCTCGCTTGAGTAAGTGATTGGGGAAGAGTAAGTGGAAGAAAGTAAAAAAGGATTCTGACGATTGTCTAAAGAAGAAGTGGTCCGTGTATACGATGGACTATGACTCAGTCATAAGAAAGAATGAACTCTCACCATTTGCAACAAAATACCCTCCTGGACAGACCTAGAAGCTATTATGCTCCGTGAAATAAGTCAGATAGAGAAAGACAAATGCTGCATGATTTCACTTGTATGCGGCATCTAAAAACCATAAATGAACAAACAAAGCAGAAACGAACTCATAGATACAGAGAGCAAATTGATGATCGCCAGATGGGAGGGGGATTGGAAATTTGGATAAAAACGTTGAAATGGATTAAAAAGACAAGCTGCCAGTTATAAAAATAGTCACAGGGATATACAGTACGGCACAGGGAATAGAGTCAATAATCTTGTCATGACGGGGCATGGTCTCAGACGGGCACCAGACTTCTCAGGGGGATCACTTTTTAGGTTATATAAATGTCCCCTCACTGTGAAACTAATATAACAAGGCATGCCCATTGTAATGGAAAAACACATTTAAAAAGAAAAGGAAAAAGGGATTTTGAAACAAGAGAGGCTGGGATAAGAGCAAGGGGTCCTAATAGACACTACTGTCTCCATTTCCTGCCTCAGCCATTTCCCCATCTCTCTCCTTCCACGGGCCCCCGAGAGTGGCAGCCTGAGTGACCACAGCTCCTAGCAATATGCATGAACACAGCTCCAGATGTCCCACAAAGGGGACACTTCGTGAGGTCTGTCTTCTTAGGGGTGGACGTAGGAATGCAGAATTGGTACCGGAGAATTGGTACTCTTAAAGCTACATGCGTACAACCAAACTGCGCTCTTACCTAGGTGTACTACATTTAGGGGTGCCGAGATGTTGGTGGAGACCTCGGGAATCTGTCCTCTGCAGCCCCACTGACCGCTCCTTCCACTCTCACCACCACGTGCCCTTTGACCACGGTCAGGTGGGAATCACCCTGCGCCACACAGGACTCACAGTAGAGAAGGCCACCGAGCCTGAGCAAAGGTTTTGATTACCATCCATTCTCATTACTTGTGGCAGACTCCCACTGCTTTCAGAAAGGTCATTGCTGGGTCTTGACACCCCATCACAGGAGGCATTATCCATCCCGTCTGGGCCCAGGACACAAAGCATTCCCCGCCTCAGCGTAAGGTTGGGCGTTCTCCCCTTCCATCTCGGGACTGTCTTCTCTTGCGCTGTGCTTGTGGACGTGAAGTTCTTGGGTTCTGAGCACCCCTCTGCCTCTCCTTAAGATGTACTGTGACAATATTTGGTTGTGCCCTGACTCACATCCCTCCAACAGACCACATATTCTCGACTTGCCACAGCCCCCCACCCCACATAGTCCTAGGCACCTGATTTCTCCTCCATCTCACCCATGGTCTTCACCTCTGTTGCACTTGGACTCCTTGAGGGCTTCTTGGGGAAGATGGGGTCCCAGAGGTGAATCAATAGATTTATAGGTGAGCAAGAAGGGCCTGAAAATGAGCCCCCCACTGTGACAGTTCCCACGGAAGTTTCATCAGCCTGCTCTAACCTACCTCCTCTGGCCTCTGTAAGTACGAGGAGGGATCTTGACAGGAACCCTGCATGCTGGCCAGACTCACTGACTTGAGTGAGCTTTCAAATAGCGCTTTCGTAGGGATCCTGGCCATGACCCCTTCTGACCAGGCCTGGGCTATCCCAGCAATGACGCCTCAGCCCTCTGCACCCTCCCTCTCTTGGTGGGACTGGATCCTTACTAGATCTCAGACTCATCGACACTCTGGTTGGTAAAGAAGCATAA